AAAAAAAAAAAAAAAAAAAAATGCTTCAATTGCTTTCAAACAGCTATAAGAATTATTGCCCCAGAACCGAACATACCAATCTGTGTTGACAAAGTGGTCTTTTTTATGTAAGTGCATGACCTCCTAAAGACATTTACTTATTCTAAAAAAATATTCAATCTTGATAAATAACCAAAATACTATAGAAAACCATTTTTTCTGGGGCTATCATTTACTGTCAAATGATATCTTGTACGACTTTTTTGTCTCTTCTCATGTGTCTGAAATGTATCAAAATTTTTCACCCGGGAGTTTTGATAGCTGTATTATTATTATTATTTTTATTGTTTTTTTATTCATGGATTGTTGGATATAACAACATGGGAGAATAATTACAAACTGTGCCAATGCCTTGAAACCAAGGAACAAGGATCTCTTTTATCAGCATCTCATTTTTAGACACAGATATTAAAGTGCATAATGACACCATGAGCTACAACAATTTATTTGAATTAAACTGATGCAATATCAGTTGTATACAGTTCTCATAAAATATTTATATAAGTAAAAAATAAGGGTCGAGATAAAAAGTGTACACTTTATGTGCATGTGCATCTAATGAGATTTTTATACATTTTTTGGACCAATATGGACCTTCAAAATATGAGCACACACCCATCAGTGCTGCCCCAACAAAAAAATGAGAATCAGTGTTGACATCAATGCAGGATACACTGCAAATATAACATTACAATCATTATGTACTAGTTATAGCACAAGTTGTCCACTGTAAGCGATAAACAAAATCATACTTCAAGGCCCAGCCGAGATGTAATTTGCTCTTGAATGACGACAAGTACATATAGTTGTAGCTGACTTATCCCACGACTGGCAGTTCGAACAATAGGATGAATGCACCTAAGGACGTTAAAGTAGAGAAAAGCATATTAGCGAAATACTGTGTTATCCTGCGGGATAATAAAGGAATAAGGAATAGCCCTTCCCTCTTTCACAAAACTACTGACCAATGGCGTCTTTAATATAGGGATAAAGAACAATTTTGAACTCTTTTTTTTTCTGGTGGGAACCTAAATGAGGACATTAGATGCCTAGTGATACTTTCCAGATGAATCTATCAGTGTAAGTGGGACTGAGCAATGACATATACAAGCCAGATGAAGCACAACAAGACATAGTTAATTGCCATCACACAAATGCAGATCTTATCTAACTTGGCTGCAGAAACCCTACTGAGAGATTGGCCATTTAGGCTAATTTCTTAAAACAAGAATTGTGTTCTTCATTCAATTACATCATGTGAATCCATTGTATGCTAAGACTAAAATAATTAATGCAACACAGTGAACATAATCAAAACAATTTGAAAGAACAAACATCCAATGCATGACCAGTTGTAGAAAAACTCATTATCATCGATCCATTTGGGTATACATCCATCCAGGATAATCCAATCTAATTGGAATAATTGGTGGCCGTTCACTTGTAAACCATAAGATACTGACCAGACACACTTGGGGAAAATTATATTGAAAAGATGGCCTTCATTTCCCAAATGGCCAGTTTTACAATTGACTTGATGATGATGATAACACTGCACTAGCACTGTTGCATGCTATCCAGTACAAATTACCTGTTTCTTAGAAAAAATCCAAACAGAAAAAAAATTAAGGCACCAGCTTCTGCATAAAATATTTTACTGTTGTACTGTTTCTCATAAATATATTAATTTATTGATTCATTTCTGATCGAAATGATGTGAATTTTGTGAAATACATCTACCAGTCCATGAAACTGCTCTGTTTGATGATTTAGTTTCTTTGCCAACAAGACATAAATTATAATATTTTACAAAAAAAAAAAAAAAAAAAAAAAAAAAAAAAAAAACCTGGGTTAAGCAGAAAAGTAGGTCACTGAACATAAAGGCAGGTGACACAAAGGATGATGGACATATCTGCTTATGAGAAAATGATGCCTTTCTGACTTTCATTAAAATCTACCACAAAAAAGTTGGTGGAAACATCTTGTTTGAGCAATGACTCATTCTGTGATATAATCTTATTGCACATGAATCTTAAAGGCAGGGAAGAAGAAAAAGTAGCTTCTAATCACTTGTCATTTTGTTAATGAGCTTACGGGGGATTACTACCAAAAACAGAAATCCAGAGCTCAAAAATGAGTTTCTTAGTTTTGAAGCATTGTTAAATGTACATGCCATAAAGAGGATCAGAAGTCACCATGTGCAATGCTTTCTGAACAAATTTAATTACCCCAATCAAAAATGAACTCAACCAAAGAGTTAATGAATTCACTTCCTTGAAGTAGCAAATGCAGTGAACATTACAGCTAAGGGAATAATCTTCAGTGCATATTAATTTCACGATTTTGATGAATGGAAATGGTTTCCTTGGCAACATTATTTAACTTGATGCCCAAAAGTGTTCTGATTACTCTAAAGCATGACATAAAAATTAACGTCTTTAATGCGCCTGCCATATAAAAACTTTTATTTTTGCATGAATAAGCTTTTTGGATTAAATCATCACGGCTTTCTTTTGCGTAAAACCAAAAAAGGAAAGAGCTACTAATTACTTCCACCTGCCACTCAAACACCTGGAATTATAAATAAGAACCTCACAAACAAATAAATCACCACATAAATGTTTTATATGTGCCTTCAAAACAAGACAGATTGCCAGGATTAAGATTCCAGGCAAATTGTTGCAAGCTATGTGCATGCCCTCCCTCCACGCAATCTGCCACTGTAGTAAACACACGTAGTACTATACTATCAGATGCCTGGGAAACTTGTAGTAAAACAGTGACGTGAATGAAAACCTAGTTAACTATCAAAGCAGCCAGCGATCAATAAAGCAAAATCTGCTGCAAAGCTGCCGCACAATGAATGAAAGGCACCCTGGAGTTCAAGGGTTTCTATGGCAAAATATTTTTCTTTACAGAATTGCTTGATGAATCAAAGTTACCTTCACATCATCACCATCTTCATCTTTATGTTAAATGGGTGAGAAACAATCTGGTCATCTGATTAAGCATTGACAGTTAAGCCGCAATCGGGATAACATTACGCACATTGGCGTAACCAATTGAACTGCCTCAAATCACTTCAACTTTCAGCTCGCGGATTGCGTTGGCCAATCATTGGAGATTAAGCCAGAGCGTAAGACAAAAGCAGGATGATCAACACAATGGAGATTTTTAAAGCAACTCCTTAGAAGTGTTTCTGAAAAAAAGGCATCTGCAACATTTATTTACATGAAACCAATTGAAATTTAGATACAAGAAAGAAAAATAAAATACAAATGACCATTCTTGTTAAGTTGGCAGCTGCATCTTGTAAATAATTTAACTGCAATGTTTCCAGTAAAGATGGGCCAACCTTACCCAGTGCCACTCTATCACCATTAGCTCACAATATGAAGGTAACATTACCTCAATTTCTGCCATTGGTAGGGTAACAGAGGGATTAGATTGTCTGGGTATGGTGAACTAATCATAATCAAGGTAGCCTACAGGTTGAATTTATCCAAAATGAATGGAAACAAAATTCAAGTTTTACATGTAACTCAGGGGCAACTCTTCTCTCTGAATCTATGATTATAATAAATTGCATTAACTGAAGGTGCGATAATGAGGTAAACCAGCAGGTGCTTGTAATATAAGTGTCCTTCATAGATGCAGGTGGACTGGACATGGCTCTATAGCAAAGTTATGAAAAACAAATACAGGAGAACTTGACCCCTATCTGCACTGAACATTCTGGAACCCACATTCGTGAAAAATTCTGCCTCAAAAGTTGAGTTTGTACTAGTAAACATCCATTAGCATTGAGTAGCATGATGTAAATATTTTGATATTCATATTGTACATGCATATGTCCATCAAC